AAATCAATTGTTTCTGAGTTATAGAGTTTCAATGAAGTCCATCTTTTAAAATCATAAACTTCGAAACGTACCACACATTTAATATACCGCATCTGAATCTCGATAAACATGAATATGGGACCTGAATGACATTTATCAATGTTCTCCTGACAAAACAATACGAATATGGTACCTGAATGACATTTATTAATGTTCTCCTGACAAAAAAAATAAGTTAGATATCCTGGATACGATATCCCACTCAGTCATGTTCAAGAAAGTCTCTCTAATAAGGGGACAGTGCTACAGAGCTACACTTTACTACATAGACGTCTAGATAATTTTGTGGAAGACTAGATATGCATAATGCCAATCCACTGAAGTTCAGAAGTCGCAGGAGATACCGATGCATGGACAGAACTTTTCAGTGGTTTGTGTCATAGTTTATCAATACAGTGTGCACTTGTGCAGGAAGTATTGGAGGAACTGACACATACACGGAAACGTACACCTGTGCAGACGATACTATTCCACCGGTATATCCAAGTGGATATCCTACACACGAGATATCCCACTTTTTTCTTGACAGTGAAACATTAAAAAAAGTCAATCCGATACCATATTCGTGTTTAGTGAGATTCATATGCCGTATATTTAATCTAAATGACCATACGTTACAAAATTTATGATTTAAAAAATGGACTAAAAGCCATCATTTTGAAGCTCTATGACTCAGAAACAATTGATTTCTGAATCGTGGGACTCTAAGAACTTTAACCAATGTCACCAATTTAGCAAATTGGTGACATGACGAATATTTGCACATACGGAACTAAATGAGGCTAAGAGCTGAATCTTTTTTTGTAGCTTTGCGTCCATTTAAAATTTTATTAGTGGTACTTTCTGTTATTGTTCTGCTTTAATGTTATTGTATTAGATAGTTCCTGAGAATGTATTAAAGAAATAAAAAATACGCGTTAGATGATTTATTTTTTTTTATATAAAAACGGCACCTTATATGACAACAAAGAAGAAAGGTTTGTGTCAAAAAGTAAACGAAGAATTCAAAAATTATTTTTAATTTGTAATATATCAGTGGCGTACAATTTTTTTTTTCTTAAAAAAGGCGCCATTACCCATATGTCGGCCAATGATTGATATAAAATTCTTAACTGTATGTCAACAAATTCGCAATAACCAACTTTTAACCCATCAAAGCCTGAATTAATTTATTTTCTTAAAGCTGGTAGTTTTTTGCTAAGTTTAGTTTAGGAAAAATACAAAAATACAACAGAAAAACGTATTAAATTTTATTTGTTTATCGAACATATGACATTACAAACTGTGACCATATGGTAACACTAGGTGAAAATACTATAAAAATATTATAAGATTTACTCTTTATGAAATATAGCAAAGCATTCAATGCATAGTCCAATATCGCATTTCTCACACTGCGTACGTCCTACTGAGCTGCACCTTCTCCTGCGTACCGCCCTCGTTTTTATTAGGAAGAGGTATAATGAGATGGTTAACACCATCGTACCAGAGAACTAACGATCGTACCTAATGTTGTCAGAGATTCTGTTAAAAGATAAACTATTTCTACTTGTTGTTGGTCTACCAGGTCTAATGAGAGGTTTTTTTAATTTGGTAAGGTAAGTAGTCGCGATTTCACGTCGAAAAATCAAATTAGTTGTCGGTCTTCCTGAACACTTATAAAATATTCACGCATTTTGCACCGCAGCATCAATTAACCATGTAAGTATAGACCAATACCATTTCTTACTAAGAATACTTATACGGTATCTTGTTAAATCCTCATCCATTCTATCAGTGCCTCCCATAAATTTGTTATACATTCCAACAACATGTGGGCCTGGAACGTGGACGATTTTTTGTCAGAATGTGAATAACGTTTCACTTGTTGAATAGGATGCACACCATATGAAGTTGATGTCATTGTTACGACGGCGTTATCCATCCATCTTGTCAACATAATACCATTTTCTTTATCAATTTTTGAAACCAAATAACCTCGACTTTGTTTGGATATAGTTTGTTTATCGACAAGTGGAACATCTTGTAGTATTCTGTTCTCTCTTATTGTTCCTGTGACACCATATCCTTTTTATTTTAAATACACCATTAAATTGAATCAAGTATAAAGGTTATCTGCATAGATTTGGTACGGCAGCTTTTGTTGTGACAAAGTGTCTAACATCGAGACATGGGGAGCGGCTGCCTTTCCAAATGCAGGTTGGTAAAAATCGTTTGAATTTGTACTTTTCCCTTGGTAGATATCAAAATTTATAAGGTAACTAGTTTCGGAGTTAAGATTTAAAAGTTAAGTTAGATTAAGTTAAGTTTTAAAACCATGTCTAGGGCTTTCTGGAGCGTCAAACTTCTCCATTAATTAAAAAATTAATTAGATCACTTATTAGCCTAGTGTGACCATTAATTTGGTAACAGCGTGATTCAGTTTCATGTAATATTATGTTAATGGGTGAGGTTGCCTGTAATATTTTTTATGTTATAACCTACTTCCTTCATTATATCAACAATTATTTAAATTGCCGGATAGTCTTAATAGTAAACTAATAAAACTACTTACTCAAATCTCGGTTCCATAATTTGCACATTCGTTAATACGCATGAATTCACAAAGATATACTATTCTTTCCTTCCAAAGTGTTAAATGTAATACAGTAACAAATTGAATACACTAACATCTAGTAACGAAAAGTTGAACTGCGGATAGATTTCTAGCGTTAAGTTGAGCTAAAATCAACATTAATTGATGGCGTGTTTACGTAACCAAGTGGTCACACAAGGCGTTGATGAGTTAAAATCCACCAAATTTTGTTTTCATATATCAACTGATTTCAGAGCAATAAATAAATCGTCAGTTTGTAAGAAAAATTTCAACACCCCGCATCTCGAAAATGAAGCATTTGCGGACATATATTTATATAGCAAACTGTCTTTATTTTTCCATGCAGTATCACTTCATAAAGTTTGTCGCACTTATTTACTAACTCTGTACACCCCATACAAACATGTAATATTCAAATAACCTAAATAGTCCAAAAAACCGACACTTTGAACCTATGTAATTTAGAAACAATTGATTTTTGAATCTAGAGAACTTTTGATTAGCCATAACCAAGGCTACCTCTCTGCAAAGTTTCAGCCAATTTAACTGAAACCACCTTTACATAAGAAAAGTGACAGGATTCTTGTGAAAAAATACGCCACAAAAGTATTATTACTTTTAAAAACCGATTTAAGTAAATATATATTCAGTTTTTGACAGAAAATTGAAATATACGTGTATGATCTGCTTTAGAGCAGGTTCATATGACAAGCGCGTAACACGCGCTAATTTTTTTTATATATATTTTTGTAGCGTTCACATGGTGCGTGCACTACAATTTTGTATCCTTAGCTAAGGCAATTCGGACCCAAATTTTTTAACTACTTCAGAATGTCTATCAAGTCATTTAATGACTTACTGGCTCTGATATACGATGAACTCGTAACAGATGAAAACGCTGCGCTATATTGTAGAAGCAAACTCAATTACATTTAGTTAACTTTTTCTATTAATTAGCACAATATCGCAGGACCTTTTTGAATTTCATCTATAAATAATTCGGTATTAAAAGTTTCCTTTGCTATTTCGGACGATTTCTGAACGAATTGAGCGAGCCCTAAATGTAAATATGTAATTCTATTCGTGTTAAAAGCGCATGGTCATGGCCAACTAAACGGTAATAATACAGAAAACCAATGATCTAGCTGACAGCATAGTATAAAAAAGAAATAAAAAAGACAGCATTGTGGTTAAACTCTGCTGACAGCTTTATTAAAACGTGCAGTTGTAAACGTGCGTTATCAAAGCTCAAAACGCACGTTAGGCGCTTGTCATGTGAATCTGCCCTTACGCTAAGCGCACACACATCGAATTTGGACGGTCGATAAAAGTTCGATCAAACAAATTCCTTTGGTAGCGCGAAGAAACAAATGTGAGCGGGCACACACATCGATCGCCAAACGGCACGGCATCGATGTCGTGTGATGGTCGTGTGGCGATCGATGAATGTCACTACATTCACGGGCCACGGCTGCCGTGGTCGTTGCCGTCGTTCCAAGGCGTATAGTATCAAATGAACGCGCGCACACACATCGATCTTTATCGACCGACCAGAGGACCAGTTGCGTTTTTTGACACTGCTCAAGGTACGTCGCTCCGTGTTGCTACGTGGTTCTGTGTTGCTCATGTGGTTTTGTGCACTCCACCTAACAAACCTTTGTGGATTAAAAAACGTCATCGAATAAATATCGTGTAGTGTGCGCGCAAGGCATCATCGACAAAAGTTCGGTCGAACTTTTATCGACCGTCCAAATTCGATGTGTATGCGCCTAGCCTTAGCTGTGTAAAAAGAGCGTTATAATAAAAAAGTGTTGTATTTGTTATTTGGTCGTTAAACAGTGCTTTTATATTTATTGATTTCTAAAGGTTCTTGATTAATTAACAATTTGTGTAAGAGATGAGTTTTTTGTAGAATATGTACAATATTATATTACATTCCTGTTAAATTATGTTCTACTTTTTTGAAAGAAAGCGTGTTATTAGATTTTTCTTGAATAAATTTTGAATATTTTAACAAACTTTTTTTATATTGACAGTTGTATTATACACTACCTGTCAGGGAAAACAGGCCTTCCACACAATTTAGTAAATTTTATATTTTTTAGTTATTTCCTCAGTTTTTTGTTAATTAAATTAAATGGATTATTGCGTGTATTGACAAGCTAGACCAAGCCTATAAAGAGTATAAACAAATTCGCAAAACCTATTCTCGGAATTAATTATTTTTGAATCAACGGAGCTTCGCGAAAATGATTGTCTGGAGATTTTAGAACTGTATGAATTTTGTAGTATTCTAAATAATTTTTAGAAATATATTATAAAGTTACATTGACAACCTCACTGCGATGTGTGTTTTTTAATAACGATGGAAAAATATCAAAAGTCTGTTCTGAATGTTACACTGCTAGAAACGGAGTAAGTGAAAGGAATTTGGCAAGGCAATTGAATGTTAACTGTTCAGGGACCTTACTAAAGATTTCTTGAGATCGGATCTCATCACCGGCGATCTGGTACGAGTACTAAAAGGAAGATAGTCAGGGAAGATCGGATGCAAACTGCTAAAATTCTACAAAGCCATCTTCAGCAAACTCAAAACCAGAAATCAGCGTTTCTACTGTCTGACGAATGTGAAGAGAACAGAGTTTGACAGTTTAGAATATCAATTTATGGAATAGATGGTCTAAATAAGGTCTAAAGAAGGGCTGGAGAATGTTATGCTGCGTGCACTAGTAGACTACAAGCCCATGGGACTTTTTTAGGGAGTCATTTGACCCAGCATGAATCACATATTATAAATCAATACTACATTATGTAATAATAGGGTTACCATAATTACGAAGATCCAAACCGGGACGCAGAAGAGGAAGAGGCTTATGATAAAACATATTAATAAATGTGAATATTTTTTATTAAAAAGAAAAAGATGGATCAGCCTGTTCCGTGCAGCAGCCCTTAAGGACTGGCAGATCAACCAAGTGTTGTAGTTCTTCCAAAAAAAAATCTTCTTTTCCAAATGAGAGTGATGATTCTTCCCCAAATCCGTTATTCTTCCCCAAATAAAAAAAAATCTTTCCCAAATAAAAATGATGATTCTTCCCCAAATCCAAAAAAAAATCCTTCTCCCAAAAAAAAGTGTAATTCCAGTTGTGGTCGGCAGGCTACAAGAAACAGAAAAAGCCTTTTTTTATACTAGGTTCGTATTTAATATAGTTTTGTTCTAGTCACAAAAACTAGAATATATTTGCCATGAAGTGACCTTGGCTCAAATATTTAGTGTTAATACACTGGAATATATGAATATATGGAATCGAATATGTATATATAAAAAAAATAGGAATGATATTTGGATATTTGTAGTAAGCTGAGAAGATTTAGACGATTGAGAATAGGCAAATTTAGATAGAAGATGTGTGATAACTTACCAGAACTTATTTGGAGGTTTTATTTTCCATAAAACAACATAACTTCTTAATACACAAACTAAATACTTCTTAAACAACAACAAAAAAATTCTTCATCTTTCCCAAAAAAAAAAAAAAAAACAATAAAATAACTTAAACTTTTTTCTTCCCTTCAAGTCCTGCCTGCCGAAAACTCAACACCCGATCTCTAGGAAGTTCTGTTCCAAAATGGCCATTACATTATTCTTTTTCCCTTATGACAAGGTAATCGATTATTTTATCATCGATATCGATGTTCGAAAGGCATGAAAATGAACTATTGGAGATCATATTGTGGGTTGCATATTCCAACGGCGGCAAATTAGATTAGATTATTAACGATCGTATCGTTACAATGGTCTTTTCATCACTCCAACTAAACATTTTTTAAATTAACAAGTTTAAAAATAAAACGATTAATTTTTATCACCAACACAACAAATCTGACAATTCTCTGCTAGCTACTGGCATGGCCGTAGCAGTAGCGCGCGTTTACACATGCCAGTGATACTTCCCACGGATGCGCCTTGAATCTCACAGCATGCCACTAGCAAAAAAAGTCAAACTCTTTGTGATTACATGCCAGGAACTAGCGTGCTAGTTAACGTACACACTTGCCACTACTGGTATGCCATTGTACTAGTAACAGGCATGTGTATATCCGGGCTGAAGTAGATGTTGCTGCCTCACCTATTTACCCCTACGAAATTCGTATTACAGTTATCACCACAGAAAACAGTCACCTTGTTTTTTATTTCGTGTTTTTGTCAAGATTTATCGAAATCGTGCTAATTTAACATCATGTCTGATTTATCTGTTGAAATGCTCAAAAAATTGCATTCTTTTAGCTCGTTGTAGTTCATCTCTTGCCATCGGTGCGATCACTTCGCACTTGGTACGCGCATACCAGAATTTGAGCTCAAACAGCTTCGATATTAATTTTAAGAAGCAATCAGATGTTTTAAAGCTTATATCGTGCATTGCTGTATGGAATGCAAAAGTAGCCTCTTTAGTACTTTAGGGAAGTTAATTTTCTGCGGGTTTGGCATTTTTGAGAAACGATGTTATGGTAGATGAACTTGCAATAGCACTTGCGATGTGATTTCGAGCACTTTAGATGGTCTTTGATGTCCGCTCTTCCACCGTGTGCTTTTGAAAATTCTGATTAACACTGTTGACATTTCACTCTGTCGATACGGCCGCAGAGCTTTTTGAGAAACGGATAGTCATTTTGCAGTTCTTGTGTGAATACAACACAACTTCGAATCAGTTCGAGGTCGACAAATGAATTATGAATTAATTCATTGAACGGTGACGATGGCGGTTGTTTACAATCGAGTCGTCTATAGTTCAATTACGCTCGTGATCGGTTTGGGAGTTTGGGTGATATTGGTAATTGGCAAGCGGTCTAACTGTGTATTCGCTGTTATAATATAAATGATATAATAAGGCTGCCTGCCCACAGATGGCAGGCAGTGTTATGAAAAAAAATGGAAATTTCACTATATTATACCATATTTATTATAAACAACAATCGACCGGGGTGTCGGTGTTGTTCAAGTTTGATCGGGACGCTAATAAAGACCTACCGGGACACCGGAACAGGGTTCTCAAATGGGGGACGTCCCGGTTAAACCGCGACGTATGGTAAGCCTATGTAATAACAACTTTAGAAAATATGCCGCCAATTCTTATTGATACTCAAACCATGGAGGTTCAAATTAAGGGTTATGCCTTAGATTTCTCACCCCTGTTCCAACCGAAAGGTAGGGCGTTGCAAAAAAACTAATCTATATACCGATTCGAAACTTTGTGTATGAATAGCGTGCTGTGTCAAATTACGGAAGATGGGGAAAACGTTTTCCGAAAAGAAAAAGTTTTTCCTGCTTCTGGTACCAATACTTTTTACGGCATTAGGTCACAGTTCATTATTTTTTTATTAACTACCTAAGTTATAAATGATGTACAAATATGTTCAAAAAGTCCCCCCTTGAGTGGTAAGTTTATCTTACCTGTAACTCACCTGTACCCATATGAATTGACGGCATAATTTCTAAAGTTGTTATTACATATTGTAGTATTGTTTTATTTGTGATTGATGCTGGGTAAAATGACCGATTAAAAACCTTCCATGGGCTTGTAGTCTATAGGTCACACCGGGTTACTTTTGGTGACGGCTCAGTAATGTTTTGGGTAGGGGTTTTTGTTTGAGACACATTCGGCTTTCGTCCTGATTGTAAACTTTTACAGAAATTAACAGCAAACATATACCTAACGAAGATCCTACATTATGTGATGCGATATACCGAGTTTATTGGCTTTTATTTTTAGCTAATACAAGATAATGTGAGATCACACACAGTAAGGATTGTAGCACAGCATCTTGAAGCTGGTATTCCAAAAATTGACTGACCTGCTAGAAGCCCGGACCTTAATCCTATTAAGGATATATGGAGCCTGGATCCAACCGCAGAAATTAAAAGCCGAATAGAACAAGCCCGAGCTGCCTTTGTAAAAATGAGAAACGTACTTTGCAGTCATGATCTTAGCATTGACCTTAGAGTTCGTATGATATCTTGCTACATCTTTCCTGTCCTGCTGTATGGAGTAGAAGCGTGGACCCTAACTGAGGCTATGCTTAAACGCTTGACAGCCTTTGAGATGTGGGTATACAGACGACTACTGAAAATAAGCTGGGTCGACAGAGTTAGAAATGAGGAGGTCCTTAGACGGCTGAACCAAACAACACAACTGGTCAATATAATAAAGAAACGCAAGCTGGAATACTTCGGTCATATTATGAGACACCCTGAAAAATATGATCTTTTACATCTGATCATTCAGGGAAAGCTCCAAGGTAATCGTGGTCCTGGTAGAAGAAGAACATCATGGCTGAAAAATCTAAGGCAATGGTATGGAAAATCAACTACATCGTTATTTAGAGCTGCTGTCAATAAAGTCACGATAGCGAATATGGTAGCCAACATGATATCCAACGATCGATAACGGTCATGGAACTAGAAGAAGAAGAAGAAGGAGCCTGTTGAAAAGGCGTGTAAGGCTTAGCTTACCTGCTCCAAAAACATACGCAGAGCTTCGAAGGAATGGACCACTTTTCCCCAAAGGGGCGTCCATAACGTGATCAGTTCTAAGCCAAATTGAAAGAGGAGTGACATCTAGAACCGTGGTGGCAACATATATATTATTGAAAAGTAATACTTGGCTATTCTTGATTCTATAATTCAATTCTCGTTATAATTGTAACAGTACGTAGAAATTTTCAATATATTTATGTTCTCAAATTTTTCCTTGTTTTCCATAAGTATAAGAAGAGCATGTGCCTTGGATTAGGTCTCTTCACACTGGTATACTCCAAGCTGTATCACTATTGTAGCTAATATAGCTAAAACAATGTTAGTATCTAAATCACCTTAATCTAAAAAATATATAGGAACAACTACACTATTTCCTTTAGTTCAGTACAATTTGTGACCCTTTAAAAAACTACAGAAAACAAAGTGCCATATTTCGTTTTTAAGTAAATAACAGTGAATATAATAAAAAATCAGTCTTAAAAATTAAAAAAAAAACATTGTAGATAAAACTTAGTAAATAAAATGAAAAATATAATTTCTAACCACTCAGAACTTTGAATGATTTTCTTAAAATAAGACTTATAGCACTTGGTTCCCTTTTATATTTCCTGTTCTCGGTTCATCATCCAAATCATAAAATTGGAATAAACAATTATTGTTAAGTTTTAAGGTAGGTGCATTGTAACTTCTAAAGAAGCCGCGATGTTTAAAAATAAAGTGCAATTTTACAGTTGCTCATGGTGGCGGTAGCAGTCCATTATTTTGGCTCAAAATTGAATATCTCTCATAGCACGGTCCACTACTACCACATTCGATCAACTTTATTATATTATAAAATTTATTGTTATTTTTTCTTTGCAGAACCCAAGGTGATTCTTTATACGAAGTGTTATCGTTACCAAAAACGGCTACTAGTGAGGAGATCAAGAAGACTTACCGGCGTTTAGCACTTAAGTATCATCCAGATAAGAATCCCAATAATCCGGAAGCCGCGGAAAAATTCAAAGAGGTGAACAGAGCTCATTCTATATTAAACGATACTACGAAACGAAATATATACGATAATTACGGTTCGTTGGGTCTCTACATCGCCGAACAGTTCGGAGAAGAAAATGTCAATGCCTACTTCGTCGTGACGTCTACATGGTGTAAGGTAAGTCAATTATTCTTTGTTATTAGGGCGAATATCAGCACCAGACAAGAGTTTTCTATATAAATTGCTGTTATAAAATATTTTTGTTGGCTAGTTTTCAAACTGCATTGATTGCAAACGGTTTAAACAACGTTGAATTTGCAACCTGAAATATTTCCAATCGTTTAGCTCAAATCAGTATCTCAAGCGAATTTAACACGTGCTATTAATGTAAACCGAAACAAGCAAAAACATATGTTTCTGTAGTTTTATTAACCAAACCAGTTTTAGTTACCAAACCGTTTGCATTTAGTCCGATCAGTTAGGATTCCATAACATTTTTCTATAATGATTAATTCTTATTATGTTAATTAAAGATAAGATAACAATTACGATTAGCATTTTCATTCTTATATTTAATGCGTTATTATTATTTACTATCTAGGAGTTTGAATAGGGGTGACAGTTTAAAAGCACTCTAGAAAATATGCATACTGATTATTAATATGTAGTGATGTCGGTTCCTTCTCTGGTTGAGAGCAACATGTCTATCTATCTATATAAGGATTTTTACAGCTGCCGCCGCCTTCCTTCTCTTTCAACCAACATCTCCAGTCCTTTCTGTTCTGCCATTCTCCATCTCTAAGATCTCGTCTTTCCATGGCCTTGTCCACTTCATCCCTCCATGATCTTCGGGGTCTACTTCTTTTCCCCCTTCCTATTGGGCTCCAATCCGAAATCTTTGCAATCCTCCTTGTATGATCTGTTCTTCTCACATGCCCATACCAAATTAAATGTTTTTCTTCGGTGTAGCTGAGTATGTCTTGTTCTACTGCCATTCTTAGTTTTATCTCCTCATTTCTGATGCGATCTATTTTTGTCACTCTGCTGCTTCTTCTCATGAACTCAATTTCAGTTGCTGTGATTTTGGACCTGTTTCGTTTATTTATTACCCAATTCTCTGCTCCATAGGTCATTATACTGCGTACCAAGGTGTTATAAATTCTCTTCTTTGTATTTCTGGTAATCTGTCTACATGTCGATTTAGAAAATAAATATTACATTCTTTAATAAACAAGTTAATACTTTGGAGATAGTATACTAGGTTAGAAAAATGTGGACTATAACTATATGACTTAAGATGCTGGATAAAAACTTAATTATTGTTGTGAAGCTATTTTCTTGTGACATATTAATATTATTTAATTTCTTACTTTATTTAGGCGAATTTAGGGAATTATGTACATCAGTACCAGCTCAAAGAGCAGAGAAAATGATTCTGAATCGGCTTTAAACTGGATTACTACAAGCATGACGAGTTGTGGTACTGAGATGGGAAACGGAACACCACCATATTATTCCTTAGTTCATTCATAATAGCACTAACTTAAGAAAATATATACTAAAAGTTATACTGATCGTGGTTCTCGGACACCACGATCTGCCAGGAGAAGGAAAGTACACAGGGCATCAAATGCCGTTATCATACTTGTGGCAGTTATAAGAATAAAATCAGGCATGAGAATAGGCACATAGAATGTGAGAAGTCACCTTAAGTCTCAATATACCGATTATTCTTGGGATAAGCGAGATGCGACGGGTAAATTTAGCTTAGATGACCACGGCGTATGATGACCGAAGAAAGAAGAGAGAATATATCAACAAAGAACTTCAAGAACTACAAGAACTAAGTAAACCAACAGAGACAAGAAAATTTTACCAGAAACTCAACAAAAGCAGAAAAGAGTTCAAACCGAGAACAACGATGTGTAAAGATAAGGAGGGTAATATATTGACAGAACAGCAAGAGATACTTAGAAGATGGACAGAACATTTTAAGGAAAAGCTTGGGGGGAATAGGACGGAGATGAACCCTGATATACCGTTAGACCAAGCAGACAACAGAGAAAAGAGTCCACCAACAATAGCAGAGATTAGAACAGCAGTGGACAAATTAAAGAACAATAAATCACCGGGATCGGATCAAATATCATCGGAGCTACTGAAAGAAGGAGGAGACGCATTACTTAAAGCCATACATGAGCTGATAAGAAAGATATGGTTGAATAAACAGCTACCAAAGGAGTGGAATAGCGGCATTATTGTACCACTACATAAAAAAGGAAACCAGTTAGAATGTGAAAACTACCGTGGAATCACGCTGTTGAATGCGGCATACAAAATAATGTCCAACGTAATGTATGAAAGACTTAGACCATACGCTGAAAAAATAGTTGGCAAATACCAATGTGGCTTCTGTAGACAGAAGTTGAAGAACTTGAAAAAACAAGTGAATATAACATCGACACACATCAACTTTTCATAAACTTCGAAAGCGCATATGACAATATAAACCGAGAATTCCTAACAAAAGCAATGAAAGAGTTTAATATACCAACACAGCTAATAGAATTGATAAAAGAAACACTAAAAGTAGAAAGTAAAATCCGGATACAAAACGAATTAACGAAAACAATAGATATGAAGAAGGGACTACGCCAGGGACACGCTCTATCATGCATATTATTCAACATCATACTTGAAAAAATAATAAGAGACACAACAGTTAATACCCGAGGAACAATAATTAATAAAAGCGTGCAAGTACTAGCATTTGCAGATGATGTTGACATAATCGCAAGATCAAGAAGAGAAATGATAGAGGCATTCACTCAAATAGAACGAGCTGCAAAAAATAGGGGTCTTAAAATCAATCAGACAAAAACAAAATATATGCCTGCAAATAAAAACGCACAACTAAGGCAGCTGATAAATTTAACAATAGGAGAATACAACATTGAGGTGGTAAAAAACTTTACATACTTAGGATCCCTAGTTACGTTTGATAACAACGTTGCAGAGGAAGTGAAGAGGAGAATATTTATTGCCAATAAATGTTACCATGGCTTAATTAGGCAACTAAGATCAGATAACGTCTCCAGAAAAACAAAATGCCAAATATACAAAACCTTAATAAGACCGGTACTCACATACGGTTCAGAAATCTGGACACTGTCTAAAAGGGAGGAAACGTTATTAGCCACCTTTGAAAGAAAAATCTTGCGACACATATATAAGGGCACAAAAGAAAACGGGATTTGGCGGAGAAGGTATAACTTTGAACTATACAACATATACCAGGATCCGGATATCATAACATTCATTAAAATAGGAAGGCTACGTTGGATTGGACATGTGGAAAGAATGGAAGAAGGCGAAATACCAAACAAAATATTCAAACAAGTGCCAGTAGGAAAAAGAACAAGAGGAAGACCGAAGCTGAGATACGTAGAACAAATAGAAAATGATATAAAATTCCACAAGGAAACTAAGTTCCTGTAGCTGGCTGTATACCATATATCACAAAAAAATTTTGTTAAAATCCTTTATAAAAGGTATATAAAAATGCCTCAAACAGGCTATCACAAACACATTGCAAAACGTTTTCGGATCAAACAATCCATCATCAGTGCAAACGGTTGTACATGCTAGTAGCCACCAAAATATATGGGTAAAAACCCTTTAAATGTTATAAATTTGAAGTTGTTTTACATTATTAGTATTTCTAATTTGTGATGGTTAAGTTACCGTTGGATAGGTAACATGGCGGCGTATGATTCTACATGAATAAAATGACTACATTTTACTCATGTAGAGTCATACGCCGCCATGTTACCTATCCAACGGTAACTTAACCATCACAAATTAGAAATACTAATAATGTAAAACAACTTCAAATTTATAACATTTAAAGGGTTTTTACCCATATATTTTGGTGGCTACTAGCATGTACAACCGTTTGCACTGATGATGGATTGTTTAATCCGAAAACGTTTTGCAATGTGTTTGTGATAGCCCGTTTGAGGCATTTTTATATACCTTTTATAAAGGATTTTAACAAAATTTTTTTTTGAAAATGATATAACAACATTAAAAATTAAAAACTGGAAAAAAAAAGCACGAAACAGGTCAGAATGGAGAAGAATCCTTGAACAGGCCAAGACCCAAAAAGAGTTGTCGAGCCAGTGATGATGATGATGACCACGGCGTATTCTATTCCGGAGAAAAAGGTATTAATCACCGGAATGGCGTGGCATTCAGTATTAATTAAATCTGTAAGTTACATTTCGGAGAGTCATTATGATGCAATTAAACTCAAAGCCAGTGCTTATTAATCTGGCCCAAGTTTATGTCAGCAGTAGTGAAGATTACATAAAGGAAGTTTATGATGATATAACGAGGATAATGAGTCATCTGAAAAATAAAGACATCACTATAATAATGGAGGATTTCAATGCAAAAGTAGGAAAAGGTAGACAAGAAAACATTGCAGGCAATTTCGGATTGGACAACGTAATGACATAGGAGATCGTTTTGTAGAATTCTGCGTAGAGAACAATTATTTATGTGTGACAAGTATATTCTTCACCCTACCCAAACGTCGTTTATACACCTGGAAGTCGCCAGCAGATACTAAGGATAAAATCGTATGAAATCTGATTGATTATATAACAATTACTGAAAGATCGAAATTTAATCAAGATAACTAAAACACTACCTGGAGCAGATGTCCCCCCAGATCATAACTTATTGATCAGTGACATTAAAAACTCAAACTTAAAAAAATGAAACAGCAACAACCGACTAACCGAATAAACACTGACTGTATTCGAAATAATAGCCAAGAAATTATACGCGAGATAGAAAATAAGTTCGAAAAATCAGTAGAAAAACATGACGTTGAAGACCACTGGAATCAGATCAAAACCATCATACAAGAAACAACCTAAAAGTATAAAACTATTAATAAACATAAACAACAATTAATGAAATCTTGGGACTAATGGAAAACAGAAAAATAAAAATCTGAAGAATACAACATAATCAATAAAGAAATTAGAAGGAACATCCGGGATGCAGAAGAAAAATTGTACAGTTGTAAATGCCTTGAAATAGACGAACTGTAGAAAAAATAAATATAGGTGGTCAGTTGCAAGTAGTCTACTTGACAAACAATGAAATATGATAGTCAACTAACATAATACAAACTGGAAAGGTGGAGAAAATAGATTGAGGAACTGTTTAATGACGAAAGAACAGAAATTCAAATGGAAAATATCGATTGTGCCAAAAATAGTTTTCGATGAATGGAAAGAGATATAAAATTAGTAAAGAATAGGAAAACAATCGAGCAAGATGAAATTCCCAGCGAACTAAAATACTCGATGTCAAAAGTAATATTCTCTTCTAAACCTCTTCAATAAAATATACCAAACGCGATTATACTAACAGAGAGGCTATTGCCACATTTATATTACAAAAAAATAATAATAATCAACCCTAAACAATGTAGCCATCATCGCAAATTAATCTGATGAGCTATGTACTAAAACTTTTCTAAGAATACTGTACTCCGGAGTTTACAACAAAATAGAAGTACAACTAAAGGAAACTAGG